AGAAGAGTTGAAGAGAGTTTCATGAAGTGTTCCTCTAACTCTAACCCAACAGGCAGACTTGATTAGCATTGCGAAGGAATGGTCCTTTTGTTGTTATTGAGAGGGTGGTATTGGTGGCCTACAATTGGCTCTTCCATCAGAGTCCAAGGTTCATTCTGTTATTTCACGTATCACTCCCCAAGAATAAAAATTAACAATAGAGTGGTGGTGCAGTCCAGTTTGCCTACTACTAGTGAAGATGATCAGCTTCTTGTTAAGCCTCTCCAAATTTTGCAAAGTAAAATGGTTTTTACATGTAGTGTGGTAGGGGTAAAGGTCTTGGTTCAACTGTCGAATCTTCAACCTGAAGAAGCAACTTGGAGGACTATGGATTTTGGAGAGACAAGTTTCCATACTTGGACACCCGTCCTTGAGGCCGAGGATTTTTTCCATGGAAAAAGGTGTAACAACTTCAATTAACTTTTAAATAGAAGTTAGTAGATGAACTTAGTTAATATAGGGTATACAGAATGAGTGAATATCAAATAGTAAAGGGCATGGATTAAAAGTAGCTAAATGAAGTTCAACGTCTTATGAATTGAGAGGTTGTCAAATGCACATTGAATTAAAGAGTGAAGACGTGAAAAAATTGGTATCCAAACAACTCTCAACTTCTTCCTTGCCTCTTCTCTCTTCTGTACTACTCGGTTTTAATCATTTCCCTCTACCACCACCACCGCCATTTCAGATATGGATCAAGGAGCTTCATCTATGCTATCTTTATTTAGTTATATTTCAATTTATAATTGTAGTTCAGTTTCATTGTTAGTTTCATTTTTCAGATAATCGAAAATCATTCCAATGTCATTCTATTGAATTTTGAGTTAAATTTGTAAGTTACGTCTATGAACTAAAATTTTATTTAGTTTTGTTTCAATTCTATAAATTTAAACAAAATTGTTCCTAAATATATAATCCAATTAGGTTACACCCACAGGAAATAAGACAAATGGAAAATATGGGAACTTTTGGGTTTTGGTTTAAGTTCACTCTGTGACAAGTAAAAATCAACAATAGCGCTTAATTGAAAGTTAACATAGAGAATTAATCACGACTGAGTTCACGAAGATTGTTGACCATCTCTGGGTTAATATATAATTTTATCTTGTGTTGTTATTGTATCAGTTTATTAAACTCATGCTACATTTTATTGATTCTTAACCAAATTAAATATCTATCATTTCTATTTTTTCAAACTAAAAGAGGTTCATTCATTTCAACAAACAACTACTCAAAGTTGGTTAATCTTGCTGCAACATTAACAATTAGATGAGCTTGAATTCTCGAATCCTCATTATTGATATTTTTCCATATTTATGCCCTTTTACTCAAACGAGCTAAACATAGGGCATGTTCTATTTTTGTAACCATTAGAAGTCGATTAATATGAAAGAGATAATAAGATATACAAAAACCCTAATTTTAGGTCAAGTCATCAAAGATTCTACAACCCTTGATTCTGGGCAGCCACTAATTACTGAAACAAATAATATAATTGCATTCATTCAACAAGAAATTATATACAAAAAGAAAAGGGAATCAACATATTGACATCAAGAAATTACTGTAAACTCTCGTTCAAGTGGTATTGTGTTTTTCGCTAAAAATAAGATCTTATAAACCCTAAAAATATTATTTATAGTTCTAAGGATTTTGAATCATAAGATAAAAAGACATCAATTTCCTGAATCATCTAACGCCTCTCCTAACAGCCCATCGCAGGTGTGTGTCATGGTCTTGGGACTAATTAATGTACAATAAGTAGTTATAACTATCGAGTAAAAGCTACCCCTCAACTATCTATGAGACCACTGTTGGATAGTGTTGTGCCTACTGCTAAAGATTTCGTTATGAAGAGGCCACAAATGCAACAAATTATTAAGGATAACTTATGCAAGGCTCAAGAAAGGATGAAGCATTATGATGATTCACATAGATCAGAAAGGGAGTTTTGAGTTGGTGATCTGACATATCTCAAACTCCAAGCATACAGGCAGTCCTCTATCCTTTGTGAAAAAATTTGAAGCTCAGCTCCAAATACTATGCTCTATACAAGATTTTGGCTTAGATTGAACCTGGAGCTTCCCTCTATTTCCAGGGTGCATCTAGTGTTCCATGTATCCTTACTTAAAAATAAGATTGGAGCAAAGAAAGTGGTTCAATCAACATTGCCTAGTAGCGGAGATGATGGGATAGTTTTTGATTAAACCAGTGGCTGTATTGCAAAGGCAGATGGTGAAACATAATAATGTGGCCCGTGTAAAATTGCTTATCCAATGGTCAAACTTTCCCCCTGAAGATTCCACGTGGGAAGATTATCATTTCATCAAGTCCAAGTTTTCTGATTTTGCTATTGATCCTTGAGGATAAAGATACTTTGGTGAGGGAGGAATTGTCACGACCCTAGGCCTAATTAATGTCCAATAAGTAGTTAACTATTCGGGTTAAATCTACGACTCAAATTAGATGTAGATTAATGAAGTTAGAAGGTAGAGATTCAACCACGTCATCAGAAGCCAACTCAACACAAGTCATGCTTTTAACAACCAATATGGAGAGGAGAAGCATAATAGAAATTTGGTATTTTCTTCACCCACTTCTCTTTTTTATTCTCACATATCTCTTCTTCTCTATCTTCCTCATATTTTCTTTTCTAATCCTAATCTCTTTCTATTCTGCAGATTTTGGACTCATCAATGGCGGTTGTAATGGCTTAGTTCAATTCCATTTACTTTAGTTTAATTGTGTTTCATTTCCCAATTGATTAATAGAAGTCCCAAAAATTTCCACTATTCCATTTAATTTTTGCAAGTTAATTGTTCGATTTAAGTCCAAGTAACAAAAATGTGATAGTCCCTCAGCTTTGACCGTCGTGTACTCTTCAAAGAGTGGTTATAACTCAGAATGTCAAACGCAGACGGCATATCAGAGATCTAATGGTCTTTCAGACTCAACATCGCCTGAACTTCAAAAGATGGAATCAACTCTGCAAGTGTGACGCGTGGTCTAACGGCCCATCATAGGCCTTATGGTTCATCTTCTTTTTCATCAACCAAACCTTAAAAATTCAAATTTTCTCTACAACTATGACGGTTACCTTGATGACCTATCACAGACTGTTGGATCTCTCCTTTGGCAACACTTAACTGCATTTAGCTTTGTTTCTGGGCTTGACTAATTTCTTCTCTAACACTGTAAAAATACATTAAAAGACATTTATTATCTATAGTTTTGATGATTTGACAAACCCTGAGACCTTGTGAAGGGACATGATCCATTGCGCAAATGTACATGCAACTACCAGGTCTTTATCGACAGGGGAAAGAAAACATGGAAGAGCTTGTAGGCATTGGTGTACAGTTTGTCATCATAAAAAAGGGGAAAATGTTATTTATAGTTTTAATGATTTGAAAAACTCAGGGACCTTATGAAGGGACCTGGTTCATTGCGTTATAAACTTTCCACTGCCAAGCTGGAAAAAGTCCAAGTGGTTGGTGCACAGTCTCCAACTGATGACAAGACAAACCCAAAGACCTTGTGAATGGACCTGGTCCTTGGATAGACAAACTTCTCACTGCCAGGCTGGAGAAAGTATAAAAACTTGATGCACAGTCTCCAACACTGGAAGAAGTGGCAGACGCTGCAGAAGCCTTGGCCAATGGCATGGCTTCGAAGGTTACGGCTATTCTACATAAAGTTTATATCCAAAAAGTCATAACTTTAGTTTTTGCAACTTGAAAACATTTTAAGAACTCTTGCAAAGTCTCACAAAAGGAGTGAAGAAGCATCTTCAAGATCAAGTCGAATTTGAAAGAGCTGGAAGCTTAGTTGTCTTAGGATTATTTCTTCTGAACGATTATTGTAAATTGGTTCCTCAAATTATAAATGATCCAGATCTCTTTGTTTGTTGAAAACTCTAAGTTAGTTAAGTCCAACTGATTTAGTGGGCAACCTTGTGTGTTTTTTAGTAAAAATCCTAAGTCATCCAGAGCGTGGTGATTTAGTAGGCAACCTTGTGTGTTGCTTAGTTGAATCCAAAGTTGTCTAGTGGTGATAGCCTAGTGGGCAGAGTGAAATCTGTTTAGGCTCTTCAAGCATTAGAGTTATTTCTTGGTTGTGAGATTAATAGCTTTTTCTCACGTTGTTGTAATCATGATTCACTTTTGCTTGAGAAGATTAGTGAAAATAGTTAAAAATCCTGTGTGACATGTCGTGATTTTACTCCCTTGAGCAAGGAGGTTTCCACATAAATTGCTTGTGTTGTTTTCTGTGTTTTCTTACTCTTTGTTCTTACTTAAAGTGTGTCAAGGGACCTGATCTGTTGACTGGTAGTGGACGCACGTATTCTAACAACACTATTGTTGCTTAAGAACTAGCAATTATTCTTAGCTAAAAACATCAAATATGTTGTCAAATGCCGACACATCAGAGTGTGTAATAATAATTTTGAATAAAGGGAGAGTGTGTTTTAAGCCTTTTTTCCTTTTGAGAAATTGGGGATTATAAACCATTTATATAAAAAAAAATACATTCAAATTCTAAATATCCTATGCAAAAAGTATGACCAACAAAATTCCAACTTTAAAAATTCCAAAATAAAATGAATAACATTTAATTTCAATCATCAAATTCCAACTTAGATTATAAAATAAACTTGGTGTTAGGATGACTTCTTGAATTTATATATTTTAGCACAGAAAAGATAGATTACAAAGTTCCAGCAGCTAAGTGCAGCCAAAAGCCAGAAGAAGTAATCAAGATGCCCACTGTTTAAGTTGTTTGGAATCCATCCAGGTTTACCACCTTGAGTTGTAATAAATGTTACTACTGTCAGTATGAAAGAGATCAAGTAATTACCCATAGCAACGGTCAACAGTGACAATGCACTGCACAAGCTACGCATTGCAGTCGGTGATTGATCATAAAAGAACTCGAGGTTCCCAATAAAAGTAAATATCTCGCCTGCTCCTAGTATAAAATACTGCGGAATCTGCCAAAAGATACTGAGAGGTACTGCAACTGCTTCATCCACCAAACTACGGTCTCTTGCAAGTTGTAGACGCTTGAACTCAACGATAGCAGCAACTGACATGCCCAACACAGAAAGGAAATGTCCGATTCCAATTCGCTGTAAGTTGGAAAATCCCCTTTCATTTCCAGTAAGCCTCCTTGCAATTGGAATAAGGATCCTATCATAGACTGGAACCCATAAAATAACACTAATGATATCAAAAAGTGAAAGAGATGCTGGAGGAATTCTGAAGGAACCAATGGAAGTGTCCATTACCATCCCTTGCTCCACAAACAACGTCATTTGTGCATAAACAGCAGCAAATATTATTCCAGTTGCCCATATGGGAAACATGCGGATCAAAATTTTCAGTTCCTCAACCTGTGTAACAGTACAGAGCCTCCAAGCATTGGAATAGTCCCCAGTTTTCGATTCGGTATCTGAAACTACAGCAGCTTTGTCAAGGCACCTGAAGAAGACATACTTGTAGGCTTAAAATAAACTAACACTTGAAACCTTAACTTTCCTAAAAATACAAATAGAAAAAATTATCAAAGAAATCCAAAATAATTCATATGTTCATGATTCTGGTGTTATGAAAAAATATTTATGTAAATCAAATTTATTCAATAGTGATTACTGGAAAACATTAAAGCAGTGACATGACAGAGTAAACACACTCAAAGAACTCATTCTTCACACAAAAAGAACTAATTCCTCCTGCTAAAGAATAAGATACATACCATAAACAGAATTCTAAGCTTGTTGAACTCATTTTGACCTCAGCAAATTTTGTAAGCTTGCATGAATCCATGTAGGTTGTACCTTCCTTTTATTGTAGCCCACTAGATGGCTAGCCTTGCTTGACTAAATAAGGTTTGTAAGCTCACTAAATCAGTTGTAAGGACTCTCCTTCCACTCATTGCAACAATATAGATGGATATGTTAAGAATCCAATCAAATCCATGTCTTTTTAAATAACATCTCTACAGTATGAGTGTGGGGACTAGTTTCTTTCTTCTACAACAAGTGTTTATAAAATTCTTTACATTTGTGCATAGTACAGTTGCAAATTTCTTCTCTCCTACCTCGGTACATTATATCCCTCCTTTTCGGTCCTAAATATATTTGGTTGTTCTACATAGAACCAAGTTCCTTTTTTAGTAAGAACATGTTTCTTTATAATTCAGTCTATAGAATATGAAAACATTGTACATATGAATGGAACATCTCTAAATTTCACCCTTTTGGAATCATAAAAAAACAACAACGCGTAGTAGAACCTTCATGAGAACATAGCAAAATGTATTTCCCACTCAAGAAATTAACAAAGCTTAAATAAAGAATATTTGGATGCATCATTTTAGTCCATAGGGACTAGACCAAATAGACAATTAACAGTAGCTTACAACGCTGCTATGAAAAATATTTAATACAGTATTGGTATTCGAAGGGTGAGTAGAAAATAAGTACTTTTGCTAAGAAACTTGTCAAGGGAAGCAATGACGTCTTTCAATTTCCCCCTTACCTTTTTTATCATCAGTTTTCTTCTCCTAACTTTTGTTTTTTCCAATATAACACTAACGATAAGGTCTTTATCATCACACCTCCTGATTCATCCTTGTTGGACTGATACTCAGATGACCAGGTTCACCATCGGTAATATTGCTTTATTTATGTCTGTGACACAATCTAGATCTAAGAAATTATATTGTTCACTTATTAATTTTGGTATCCAATTTTTATTTAATCTAAAAATTATTTATTGGTTTTGTAAGAGAGAGTTGGAAGAAGTTGGATTATTTATTTACGAGGGAAAGCCCTCTATTTATACACAAAAATTACACGCTTTTGGCCAAAATGGCCGACACTTACTTTACACTTGACCCTTTTACATTTAGCCGACGCAAGAAAACAAAAACTTATTATTTACTTTTCATAGTGGCCTTAACTTTTATTACCGGCCGACACAATACTTTTTTACATATGGCTGATATTCAGCCGACGCAAAATGACAAAAACAAAAAGACTTAACTTTATATATATATATATATATATTTTTTTTTAATTCTAGTTGTACGTCTGGGACATAGTTTTCTTCTCCTTCACATTTTGTGCATAGGTGATCAGGATATTTTTGTCCTATCAACTTGCAGTATCTTGTCATCAGATTAGGAGAATAAAATATTTCCTTATAGCTCTTGTTGTTGGTGTAGCTTCTGGCCTTAATAGACTTAGTATCCATTGTCTTAGTTCTTCCATGTCTGCTAATCGTATATCTCTGCAATTTGAATAGATTATTGTTTGATCTCGATTGTAGTATGTCCATATGGCATTTTCATTCAGATAATTGTTTGTTATCTCGTTCAATATAGTAGCTATTCCGATAGTTCTTTTATTTGCATAGAATTCCGGAATATCTACTCTTTGTATTTCTTCTTGGGTGTCTATCTTTTCAGGAATTATCATTTCCCTAGTTAGCCCGATCTTTATAACTTGTATTGTAGGTTTGACTTCGTCATACAATATCTCTGCCGTAGCTGCGTAGAACTTTATATAAAAAAGAGTACCTTTGGTTACTCTTTTATACTGTAAAAAAGCTTTATATAGTTCTGGTATCTTGGATATCTCGTCTCCTGTTATCGTGTATACGGTACTTAACTGTCCATAGTTGTAGCAAGTTGCTACTAGGTCTGGATTAGTTCTTGGTTGTGCAATTAATTTATTATATCCTTGTAAATACTAGGTTATGTAGTCTTCGTCGGGTTTTTTCATATTTTTAGCTTTAGGGTTCTGGTTGAGAAAAGTCTGTACTTTGTATATATTTTCTATATATGTTCTGGAGATATAATTGTATGTTTGTTTTTGGGAATCTAAGCTGGCTTTGTAGGTATTTGTTTGTGGGGTGACAGACATCTTTTTGGGTACTTTGAGAAGTATATGGTTGTGAGAATAATTTGTTCATATTTACAATTGTATATTTTACCTTAGCCTCCTCCTTTTTTGTAGGTTGTCTTGCTGTAGATGTGCTGGCTGCAGCTGCACTTGAACAAACATTGTTATGGGTTTTTTGGAGTTTCCCAACGTCTCCTTGTAGTTCCGCATGTTTATAGTCATGCTGCTGACTTAGCTCCGCATATTTTGAGGCATGCTGCTGACTATTAACTTTTTCTTTCAGACTTTGTACTTCCATTTCTATCTTTTCCATCTTTTGGCATAGATTTGTCATCATAACCAATATATCTTTTAGTGTATCTTTCTCTTGAGAGATAGTCTGCAATGAGATTCTAGTCAGTTTTAATTATCTCAATTGTAAATGTAAAATTCAATATATTTAATACTAATCTTCTTATTTCTTTTGTTGTAACTGAATCATCTACCTTTTTAGTTATCCACCATTTTACCTGTGTGTTATCTGTCCTTACGATAAATTTATTGTAAACAATATATGGTTCGAATGCTAATAAACATCTATATAATGCAAATAATTCCTTTCTATTTATCTCCCATTTCGTTTGTGCTTCAGTATATGTTCCTGAGTAATACCTGCAATGATGTTCTATCTTTTCTTTGTTATATTTATATTTTAGTACTCCTCCGTAACTGTGATCACTTGAATCTGTTTCAACTATATATGTAAATGCTTTACTTTCATTAGGAAAGTATAGTTTTGGTAATTTTTTACATAATTTTTTAATATTTTTTATATGTTTTTTATCTTTATCGTCAAAATAATATTCAACGTCCTTTTTAAGTTTTTTATGTAGTGATTTTAAATGTTCTGCTAATTTTGGTATATATTCTCTTACTTGGTTTACTAATCCTAAAAATGATTGTAATTTCTTTTTTGTATCTATATTTTCATTAAGGGTAATTATTTTTTGTATTATATGGGTTTGCATTTTTATTCCATTTTTGTCTATTTGTATTCCTAGAAATTCTACCTGTGGTTTCATTATTTCTGCTTTACTTTTACTT